AATAATAGAAAAAAGCATTTTTAGATCATTTTATGAAAAATGGGTCACTTTCGTCCTTCTGCTTTAAAAAATGGAGCATTTTTCACACATCTACTTAAGGATGGCAATTTTCTCCGCGACTCGTGGAGCTCCGTGGAGATACCCGCCATGGGGATGGAGATTCTCAGAATATTCCTACCCGTGAGGCGTGGATGGAGGCAATTCTCTACCCGTAAAATTTCGCGGGAATTTTCTCCACCCCGTGGGGAACCGTGGGGATTCATATAAAATAAAAAATATATATAAATTTGTTTATATATATATTTTTTGTACATATATTATCAATTAATTTTTACTTATCCAATTTAATTAGTTAACCCGATACCAATATAACTTAAATTTCACAACCCATTCTTTTATCAATTTTTTCAAACCCAATTCTCAGCCCAACCCAATTTTTTTTGTTAATCTAATAATCATAAACCTAATTGCCCAGCCCCAATTTACAACCCAATTTACAGGCCCGATTTACATATAACCCTAGCAGGAGGACATTTCACTTAGTCTCTCTTTTGCTTGCCGCTTTTTGCAATTGCAAATTGCGAATTTGGAAATTGGGATTCCTCATTCCTCTCTCGGTCGACCTCGGTCTCTCCTCTCCAGTCAGTCTCTGAGTCTCCTCTCCTTTAGTCCCCTGCCACACTCTTGCTCAAACTCTGCCCTCATCTCCACGGATCATTATGAATCGGTGCTTCCCTTCAACTCTCAACCTCTCACCGACTCACCATGCCATCTCTCGGTCGGTCTCTCCAACCAGTCTCTGAGTTTCCTCTCCTCTAATCCTTTGTCACACTCTTGCTCAAACTCTGCCCTCATCTCCACGGACCTTCACAGTGATTCCCTGCAGTTCTCAACCTCGCAGTCACTACAACCCCTGGCCCCTACTGCCCTACAACGCTCGCCGCTCACCTCCAGCTGAACTCTAAGGCTGCCGCTGGGTCATCTCATCCCACCTCTCACCGTGGCACCGTGTTGTCAGCCCTTCATTGCAAGTCAGCAACGCTCCTCACTCACCACCGCTCACCTCCAGCTTGTTTTAAAAGAATGATCTTGATCATCTTTGTTTGCTATATAGGATTCTGTAAAATTGCTATTTTCTTTTGGAATTTTGATTAATAAGCAGTGAATGGTGGGGACTCCGAATATCCGCGGGGACCTATTATTACCGCGGGGATGGAGACGGAGGCAATTTTTGACCCTCCGCCAAAATTCTCCGCGGGAATCCATGTATTCGCCATTGACAGGGATGGGGATGGGAATGGGGATGGGGATGGGGATGGGGAGGGGGTCCCCACCTCCATAGGAACCGTTGCCATCCTTACATCTACTAAAAACCGTGATTTTAATGCTAAATTTGGTCCATGAACTTTGACTCAATGCATTTTTTAGCTTTGAGTAAGTTTTTGCACTTTTTTTTGTTCCTAACGTGATAATGTGTACTTTTTTCTTTCTTTCGTCAGCCAAAGTCTATGTGGTGTTAGGTTGATTAAAAAATTAATTTTTCCTAACGTGTGTTTTTCATGTATTTCCATCTCAAATATCCGTTGTTCTTGCAATGAGATCTCAACGATGACAA